AGAGAGAGAGAGAGAGAGAGAGAGAGAGAGAGAAATATGAAACGATGTCGCTCACGTGCCAGGCCGTATCGATTGCCAAGCCTCGCGAAGGACTCTTTCTTCGAGGGGCGGAAGAAGAAAGGATAAAGTCAATTTGGCGGCGGCCAATTTCAGGATTTTCATTATTCGCTGGGAACGAAAAGGGGGTCACGGCGAGTTCTTCTTCGCCTCGCCGATTAATCCGTTTGTTCGTTTATCGATTAATTCGGCAGCTAAGAGGAGGCTGCACAACAATCTCTTTAACAGATTCCAACCCTTCTCCAATAAAAATTCGATAAATTCGATTCGAAAAGGACCTTTCGCTGAGCTGGTCGAATCTTGCGAACAGCTCGTTGAGGATCTTGACCAGCTCGCTCGCGCTGTACGTGGAGGAGATGGCGGTGAACCCGACGATGTCCGCGTACAGGATCGAGACGTTCTCGTGCCTCGACATGTAGATCTTTTTGAACTGGGTGTCGAGCGAGGCGCCCAGGTCCTGCCTCATCTTCACCGCCACGTGTTCCGGGAGCACGCTCAGCAACAATCTCTCCTGCTCGGTGCTCTGCTCCTCGATCACCAATTGCACCTCCAAACTCTGCCTGGTCTCCAGGAACGCTCTACGCTGTTGGAACTCCGTCAACGAGTAACTGGATACGCCCAGGATCATGGCGCTCATGGAGAGCGTGACCGTCAGCACCTGGAGAAGAGAATTTCTTCTTCTTAGAGTTGGAAGGGGAAAGGAAATACGGAGAGAGAGAGAGAGAGAGAGAGATGAATTATGCTTATATCATTCGTGTGATATGTTATTGAAGAAAAATGGAGAGAAAAACGAGTGGAACGAAACGATTTATACACGAGAGTTGTGAATATAAATATGGATGATGATGTTGAGCGCGAGATATTGGAAAAAATTGTTTTCAACGAATTTTTATCGCGGGATATTACACGGTTATTTCCAGAATATAAATGCAAATATGATGAAATAGGGAAGATTATAAAGTGAAATCAGCCAACGTTATTATACATTTTGCACGTGTGGAATATCTGTAAACGAATGATCGTAAAGAAACGAAAAAAAGGAAAAGGCTATTTGTAATTTAATGAATCTTCTTAAAGCATTAAATCAACTCGAATTGTAAAATTGTTTCGTGTATATGCAAATTTCGGTTTACTATTTCGCGGCAACGATATAATTTCGATGAATTTAGAAGAGGAACGTTTCGTGACGTTCAACCTGTCCTTCGATCTCTCTGGAATTCGCCTTCGAGGATGATGAGATCAAAATCACTTGCGCGATTCAACGCGAATAATTCGATTAAAGAAAAAAAAAAAAGAAATCGGAATTAATTTAAAATTCCACGAGTTTTAACGATCAAAGAGAAATCAAAAAGATTTCCTTCCCATATGTCAATTTCTCATTAAATTGCCCCAAAACGAATTTAATCGAATGCAAAGAATTCAACAACTTTTCCCTGCGATTATAATCTTCTAAATTATTCCCACGTCTTCGCGTCGATTCCATCCGAATAATTAACGCCACTCTCACCCTCGTTTCGAAATGTGGCCTCGCACACGATCGATAATCGTCCCCTCCCCACCTCGCTCTCGTTTCGATCGTCGAGTTCGCAGCGCTCGAGATCGGGACGCCAGCGCCATCCCCTCGATTCCCACAATTTTCCGTTCCACTCGAGCAGAGAAGAAACGCTTTTGTGTTGCTAAGCGTTCGCTCGACAATGGGATCGTAATTGAATCTTCCTCTCTCGTTGGAGGGGAAATTGGCTCTTTGAACGAATCTACTAAATTTTTCTCCTAAACATTCGATTTTTAACTCACAATCTTTCCTCTCTGAGAATTATACAACGATGTATACAACGCGCCCCATTAATCGAGAAAAGGATTGGACGCACCCTTGATCCAACCCTTGGATGGAGGGGTTGGTTGAGCATTAGAACAGATTGATGATTCCGATTGTCCTGTGAGAGGATGGATTGCGAGGATGGATCGTTGTTTCATATCGAGCGGATGAAAGAAACGTTCGACTGCCCATTGAAAACCGATCGTACGTCGTGCATGGAAAGGCGGCATGTCGCGTCATTGCACATCTCTCTCTCTCTCTCTCTCCTTCTCTTCCTATATATCTCTCTCTCTATTTTTAAACAACCATTGACCGAACTCTACTCGAGCGTCACTAACGATAGAACGAGCCGTGTACACGAATCGAACTTTCGCTTTCGCGATCGTCCGGCCAAATTTGTAACGTAATTGCTGCCCTCCTCGTTCACGGATCCGGAACCGTCCCTTTGTCGCGATGAAAGGGTTCGAAACGTTCGACGAGAATTCCATTTAACGATTCGTGAAGAAGAAAGGAAAGAAAGGAATAATCTTGCTCTCGAGCGTGCGCGTGTAAAAATTTATACAACCTTGAATTTTACAATCCCCTGCTTCCGTAGCCTTGAATTTTAATCTCTTGTGAAAGGGAAAAAAGAATTTAGATCAGTTTGATAGAAGGAATTCTCGCGACCTACATATTCCAGATCTCGGAAGGGGGATTAATCGTCGAGTTGATTTCATTGTTGCAAACGGTGAAAAATTTTCCCAGATAAATCGAAAAATCGATCTTCTCCCTAATAATCGCGCTCGTGGCTGGGAGAACGATTCGACGATTGGGAAGGTTTAATTACGGGCTTCCCCTCACTCCGTTCGCTCCTTTTCGCGGGGTTACATCGGCTGTGCACCGATTAGGGAAACTGATTAAGCGGTCTTGTTTACTTCTATCCCTCTTTCGAGTGTTGCGCGACACTCTGACAAATTTTTGTAGAATACTCGGTTTTAAAATTTTCATCATCGATGATAATTTTCTTCACCCCGAAAATATAAATATAAATATACTCGCAAATTCGATTAAATCTATCTTTTGAGTAAGGTTGATAAATAATCGTTTGTTGTTGTTAATATTCTTTCGATTTAATGGAAAAAAAAACTTACACTCGATACGATAATTGGGTCATGCAAACACGAATATAACCATATACAACCAGTAGGATTAAGTGTAATTATAAGGAGAAAGGTATCGCGATTTTATCTGCAACCGCGAACTGTACATTGCTTTTTTTTTTTTTTTTGATTTTCGGAACGCGAGTATTTTCACAAGCTTCCACAACGAGCGTTCGCGCTCGACATAACCTAAAATTCGCAACGAGAATAATTCGATCCATATCGAAATAAATTCGTTGGAAAGGAAATTTTTCATTTTTAAAAAAAAACGATAGACACGGAGCGTTTCGTGCAGTTGTTGAAAACACACGCGTCAGCTACCTCCGGTAAAATTAATGTGGAGATTTTTATTGTGATAAAAAACACGATCATATAGCACGTCTATTTATTTTCATCGTGCCGCTTTAATTCCAATCGTCTATTTATAATATATTAAGGGACGGTTTACAGGTCGATAATTCCAGTGTTCAAGATTTGATGTAACGACGGTTCGCCGAGGGGCGGATTAAATGTGTAAAATTTCTAGGTTATATTTAGATGAAAGGTTAGAATTTTTTCGAATTAATCCCCTCTCCCCCGTTGATAAAATGGATTGGAAGTTAACCAGGATCCGGGTGTCTTCGAGATTGCACTTTGCTACGCTGGATGGAGAGGAATAAAATCGTATCCTATAAAAATATAAAATTGCGAACGCGGGTCGCAATCAGCCGAGACGGTTAACTTGTTGCGCGAGGCGCCGCGTTTCGTCAATTTTCTTGCTCGAGAAAATTTTCCAGTCTACGAATTCTCCAAACGTTTGATTCACACAAGATTGAAGGGGCACATTTTTTTCATTCGCAAATTGCACACTCATGGAGAAGCAACGGCTCCGTTCGATCCAAAAAGACGTCTCCGATCCGTCGTTATTAATCGACGCATCGAGTTCTATAAATTGCACCGGCTAAAATTAGAACATCGTGGAAACTACGGCGCGCTGTTGCGAGACAAAACTGCCCGAACACGCGAAAATGTTTCGACCAAAAGAGACAATCGCGAATCGTATCGAGGGAAGAGGAGGAAAACGGTCGATTCGCGTTCTCAAAAGTAGCAAAGTAGAGAGCAAAACCGGCCGCTCGCGATCGATCGAGAAAACAAGGTTCGCCACGGATTCCACGTCTCGAAACGTACCAGAACGTCGACGGGTATCTGTGCAGGCGCCCTGGACAGTCCCACCACGGACACCACGTATACGGTGGCGGTGGTGCACGCGAGCAGGACGCAGAGGGAGAGCCTGAGGGGCAGCGTCGCGAAGAGCAGGTAGAGCATGAGCAACAGCCAGCCGAGGCCGTCCCTAGGCGTGACCTCGGTCGACTTGAGGAACAGCTGAGCGAGTAGGTGCGCGGTGGACAGCTGCCAGGCCATGTGGGGCACCAGGGACCAGAGCGCGTCCTTAGCCCTCGGGTTGTGCTTGGCCCAGGCGAGGAAGCCCAGGTTCAGGCCCAGGAACACGGCGGTCAGGCCGCGGACGGGCAGCCCCTGCCCCGGCGTGAACAACGTGTTCGCCCCGAACAGGAACGCCGAGAGCAGGAAGTACTCGAGCCCGCCCCGCCTCTGCTGAAGGGAGGAGGCCCTGTACAGCGTCTCTAGCTTCGCGCTGCTGAAGCTCGTCCGCAGCAGGTTCGACGGCCTCCCCGCGCTCAGGTACGAATCCTCGTTCGACGTCTCTTGCCTCCGTAACATGGCGCCGCTCTCCCCCTCTCTCTCTCTCTCTCTCTCTTCTCTCCTCCTGTTACTCTCACATATCGAGGTTCGCCGCGATTAACTCGAGCCGGACGATAATTTTCTCGCTCGAGGAACACGGCCGAGCATCCGTTTGGGCAGCAACAGCGAAGGAGGATCTCGCTCGCTTCACGCACGCATGTGGATTTGGAGTCGACGATTTGTGTCCACGATTTCCAACCGGTTGATCTGCCTCCCCTTTTCTGGAGGGAGAACGGCACGAGATAGGGTTTCACGCACACACGCTCACGCAGATGCAGCGCTGCACCCGCGCGCGGGGTACTGGCCGGGTCGCTACTGGCGGTGCTCTTTCTTCTCCCCATGCACGGAGGGCCTCCTCCGCCTCTTCTCTTCTCTCCGCCAGGCTTGCGCCATGCGGAACCTCGCCGCCCCCTCCTCGGCTCTCCCTCGGCGCGGGTCGATATCAGCCGCCGGACCCTTCCTCGCCTACCCCCAACGCGCTCCCCTCGCCATTCCTCGATCTCGGTCACCCGATTTTCGCGAGAACAGGGTCGAGGAACCCGAACGAGAGGGATCGTATCGAGAGGGATAAAAGCGAAACGGATTTTTTTCTTTCATTTTTGCTTTCGAGACAATCGCAATTATCGATCTTCTGCTTCTGTTCGGCAAATTGAACTGCGCCGATTTTCCTCGATTTTTTCCGTTTATTATTATCTCATCTTTATCAGGAGGATGTCGTGTTGCAGGAGGAGGAGGAGGAGGAGGAGGTTTCGATGATAATGAAAAGAAGGAAAGGAGAGGAAAGGGAGGAGGAGGAGGAGGAGGAGGGGGAAATCAATACCTCGCGCCATGCCTCCTCGAAAAGTTGTACGATTGTTTAGAGATTGAGGGAAGATTGAAGGAAGAGAGGGGGGACGAATTGTCCACGTATGGACGATTCAATCCTCGATCAATTGGCCCAATTGTTCCAGTATCTCCTCGGGGACGATGTAGCCGAGCTGCTTCATCTCTTTCACGATCTGAGGCACCTTGCTCAGGTTGTCGATCCACTTGTAGTAGGGCAACTCGTCCCTGATCCCGCCGTACCTCTTGGGCAGATGGAAGGGCGAGATGTGCTTGTGAAGGCTGTCCATGTTCCCGCCGTGGAAGAAGATTTTCTTCTGCATCCTCGGGTCGAGGAGCGGTTTGAACACGGAGAACATCACGTCGAACACCCACGACTGGTTCAGGATGTGTATCGCGTGAGTCTTCATCGGGAACGCCGACACCATCAGGGCTATCACCATGTTGGCCACCTGACAACATTCAGATTCCGTTAATTAGAGGGAAGAATTTACATCTTTTTTTTCTTTCCCTCGAGTTCGACTCGAAGAAATTGGAAAGATCTCTCGATACCTCTTGATCGACGTAACGACGATCCGTCGAACGTTGGAGAAAGAAGAGAAAGAAGAAGGATGCGCGAAGAAAGAGAGTGGAGAAGTTTACGGATTGTTGAAGTTTCAAGGACACCATCAGTGGCACGACACTCCACCGGATATTCGGGATGAATAAACGTAACGGAGTGGAGGGAGATTGTTAGTTTCAAGGGCGTTATGGATGGTTTAAGTTTGAAGAACGTTGGAAAGTAGATCGATAGTCTCTCGCCCGGAGACCGTCCCAGTCCTCGATTCCGCACCGACGGATAAACAATATTTCTTCCTCGCGTTGATTGTCACATTTGCGCCATTCATATATTCCTCTTATCTCTCTAAATGTGAGAAACTTTGCAGAAATTTTACGAGATTAAACCGAGTCTCGAAAGAAGTAAACCAGAGAGAGAGAGAGAGAGAGAGAGTACAATAACCGAAGAATAACCTGAGGAGTGATGGTCCACGCGTGGGCCATGGTGATGCCCTCCAGATCGAAGATGACCGTCCCTCCAAGGATCTGCGCCCTCGGCTCCAAAACGCCCAGCTCGAGAATGATGATCGTCGCTTTGAAGATCTCCTCCACGGAATACTTTCTCGGGTCCCAATTGCCCAACCGATATATCATTATTCTCCTTCCGCATTGCGTTCTGTACGGTGGCACCGAGACAACGTCGTCGTCGCCGATGTACTTCATCTCGAGGGGCCTTATGTCCTGATGGATCTCCGGGTGTTCCTCTTTGAAGTTGCAGTAATTCACGATCTGTGTGGTCGAAACGTGTTTTTGAGAAGACGAGGCACACATTTTCTCGCGATTAACGTCGATTAACGGATGGGAAGAGAGGGGGAAAATTGTTAAAACGTTCGTTCATCACGTTCGTATCGACCTCGTTTCGAAGTCGAATCCGCAAGAATTGAAATCAAAGATTTGAAATTGAAAGACTGGAAGCCAAGACGAATGCGGAAAATGCAATCAACTCGTTCCTTCTCATCTTTCGATTCTCGCGTTACGATTCTTTTCCAACTTGATTAATCTCTTCGCCTCTCTCCCCGAGAAATTGGACGATCAAGCTTTCTTATCAACGGAATAAACTTTGATTCGCGTGTGACTCGATCGTTTCGAAAATTGCGATCGGTCGAATAATACGGTGAAAAAACGTGGGAAACTTTGCAGAAATTTTACGAAATTAAACTCGAATCTCGAAAGAAATAAAACCAGAGAGAGAGAGGGAGAGAAAGGAAAAAGATTACATTATTCCCAAGATATTTATAATCAAGTGTGTAGCCCCTTATTCAGCCTCTCCTTGACACGATTGTGCAACCGTATTCGTTTCACAAACCGTGCAACGCTCGGCTGAATTATCATAAATTAAAACGGATCGGATTCAAATGAAAAAGAGCTTACCAATCGATGGGCCCGATTAACGTTGAAATTCCTCGTTCTCAAGAACCGGATCAAAAAATCGTCGTCCATCCTGCGGGGCAGGCACTCCCCCCTCTCTGTCGAGCACAAAATTTCGATAGATCGCGAAACGGGAGATCCGTCTGTCGATAAATCGTTACCGTAAATCATGTCCCTCAGCTCCTGAAGAGTCCTGCATTTCACGTCGTCCGTCTCGCCGAGCTCCCGCCTCGCGTAATCGATCACCTCCTGGGACGGCTCCCCAAGGTCCAAGCACACCTCCTCGTCGTCCAGCGGGTCGTCCACCTCCCCGCGCCGATCGTCCTCCGGCATCCCGTCGCCGCCGCGCTTTCCAACATCGATCCTCCTCTCCACCAGGACTCTCCTTCTCGTCGCCTCCCTCGCCTCGACCTCCCTCAACGCGGCCGCTATCCCGCTCGACTCGTTCCCCTGCGACGGCATCTCGTCAACGATTTTTCCGATACCGATTTGTGCGAGAGACCAAAATTGTGCCTCTCTCTCTCTCTCTCTCGTGTGTGTGCGTGCGCGTGTGCGTGTCGAGGGGTTACGAAAAATTATCGGGGACGAGAAACGATGGCGAGATGTCGAGAGATAACCTCGACAACGCGATCGCGGCCGGTCCAACTGGCCGCGCTTCGCACCGTTCGCGGCTACCTTTCGACCGGTTTCGCTTTTGTCCCCTTTTGTCTCGCCACCGATTTAAATCCGCATGCTCGATGAATGCATGCGAGGTGGTTTTCTTTTTTTTTTTTTTTTTTTTTCTAATACTTTCGAGCTTTCAATACTTTCGAGGGAATTTTCCCCGTCTAAGGAGATTCGATCGTTCAAACTTTGTTGAGAAAGAGAGAGAGAAGGAGAAAGACGATTGCACGCGCGGGTAAAATTCGCTGTCGTCGGCTCGTTTTTTTCTCCTATCGCAAGCGATAAATATTGGCGACGGCAAAGGCAAAGGTCTTATCGGCGTGCAACGTGAGCCACTCGAGTCACGTGACGCGTGCCAATCCTTCCGGTTCCCGTCCCCGCCCACAGTTTCTCGAACGAAACACGCGCACACTTTTCCTCGCACTTTTCCAGAAAAATTACAGTTCGAAAGATTGTGATTCTTGACTGATCGGAAGAAGGGAACGAAGCGGAGCGACGATGTCGATGCAAACCCGCGGCGAACTACGGGTTCGGCCTTGTTGCGTCGAGTCAACACGCGACGCCTCTTACCTCGCGTCCCTTCACAACAACCTTTGCTATATTCTCGGCCGTTCTCTCTGCCTCCACTCCCTCGCTCGAGAAAAGGAGGAAACGATCCATTTCGAATTCTTCCGAAGCTTTTCTCGATTCGACTCCCGTTCGAACGATTTAAAATCGATCGCGAGCTCGTTCATTTTGTATCTGAAGAAAAATTTGGCGACAACTTCAGAATTTTCTTAGCGCACAAAACTTTTGTATTTTCGTCCACGCGATATTTACGTGTTACGCGATATTTTCATAACAATTACTTTATTGTCAAGGCAACCTGTAAATCCCTGTTATAAAACCTTACGTGCTCTCGCCTATCGTCAATTATTTCTTGACGAATAACGAAGTAATTTCTTACTGCGTCTCTATTTTTTACCACTATTTCCTTGACGAATAGAAATAATTTCGTCACTCAATAAGGAAATGTATTCACAGTATTCCACGCTTACGAAAGTAAATATTTCTATCGTCAAACTCGAGCGTGTAGTTCGAGTTTCTAATTTTAGGACAAAAGAATCTAACGCTTAATAAGAACGCATTAGGGAGGATCTTTCGACATTTTCAAAAGAAATCAAACGTAAATGAATATCGATCGCCGCCGTTCGAACCGCTGCATCGATCCAACTGGTGCGTCAAGGCCACGATCGACGAAGCGTGAAAGAACGTTTAACTTAAACCGCCAAGAAAATTTGACCGTTAAATCGACTCTCTCTTAAACTCGATCCCGCCGCTAGACGCCCCTTCTAAATCAACAAATATTAATAAAATCCGAAATATTCACGCATCGATAATTGGCCACGTGCCAATCCTTTCAACGATCTCGTACATCGCAAGTTACGCGTACAACCGACTTTCCAATCCTCGTTCATCCAATGTTTATTAACGGTTCTTCTCCTGAAAGAAGCGCGACATCTCGGTGCTCGCGATCGGAGAAAGTTCAAACTTGAACCGCCGAGTCAATAGACGAAATAACACGGCGCGAGATTAGATACGAAACTCGTGTTGTTGATCTGCGGATGGATTTTACGCGGATCGAGAAAGTAAAAGGAAGCGCGTGTAAAAATAAAGAGGGAGGGAAACTGAATGGAGAAGACGCGGTGGGTGTAAAGTTGCCACGGATCAATGGATAACACGGTTCAGGGAGCATCCTCCTTCGTATCTCGAGGCATTTCTCCAAAAGATAGAAGATAATATTGATAGAAAGTCGAGACGCATCGTATCTGTTTACCATTCTCGGAATTAGCGGGACATAATAAATCTGAATTACCCGTTGAAAGTGCATGATAAACAGCGCCGCACACTTTGGCGAAATCAACCGGTGTTTCACGCTCGTTATATTTAATTTGATCCGACGGAAACAATTAGCTCGGTCAATGAGAGTCATAATTATTCTCGTTATCTCGAAAGGTCAAAGAGATAAAAAATTCTCCCACAAAGTATCGAAATCGAGGTATTGGCCAAATAATCATGGCGAAACGTGTCACGGCCATCCTGTTGCATCCACTCTGTTGTGGTGCTGACGATCGCGTAAGCGGCGCGTGGGCGGGGAGAAGTAAAAGCTGTAACTCTCGTTCACATTTCCTCGTTCGCGATTACGAACGTAACAACGCACGGTCGGAAGCCTGTTTCCATTGCAGAAGAAGAAGAAAAAGCCCACTTTCGTTTAATTTAATTTTGCTCGAAAAATTGATTCGATCGAGAAAAAGTGCATAGGATCGATTTTATCACGAGCCCCTTCCGTTTATTTTCAACAACTTGGACTGTTGTATTTTCTAAAATTTCGTTCCGAACGTGGAATTGTAATATGACGTAACCGGTCGTAATTACGGCTACGGCAGTTGTAATCTCAACCGAGCGCGATCACTGCTACTTTCTCTCCCCTTACAGCGGACTCCAAGCAAGACACTGCGATTCTTTTTTCTCGAAACCTGGTATCTTTCCTGCTAGCTAAGCTCGATCATCGATTCGAACGTGTCATCGATCTCTGTGTGTTTATTATTCCTTCCCTCGCGGCAACAGATCGATAATTTATCGCAAGCTTTTATTGGAGGAAGAAAAAGTCGATGAAACGAAGGGAAATCTACGATAATCCGAAATAATCTGAATAATCTTAATAATCTTGCAACGGTTATTTTTCTCTGGAAAAAAAAAGGTACTCACTCGGATTTGGAGAGGCGTCCTTTTCGATGGTCCGTGCGCTGGCGCGAGCCTGCATGCACTGTGCCGGCCGAGAGCCCCTGCCAGCCCTCGCTTTTAGCCTTCTTCCGTGTTTGTAAATCTGCGCCCGAGAAAGTCGTACACGCCGATCGCGACTATTCGCGTGTTGGCTCGAGCCGATGGTGGTGGCTCGAAATCGAACAATTTCCCAAGTTTTCGAGAGAGGGCAGGAAGCGTACAAAGCAAATGTATAATTTGTAACGCGTGATAGCGTGCGAATGGCCAGGTTAAATGAAAAAAAAAAAAAACGAAAGCGACAGAGCGAACAAATTTGATCGAGAGTCGTCGCCGTTCTCGAATTTTATTAATTTCAATTCGTAACCATTTGAAATGTACACGAGGAATGTTTCGAGGTTCGTTTGAAAACAGCTTGGAAAGAGAAGAGGAAAAAATGTTATATGATGCTATTTCAATATCGATCTTCAATATGCGAGGAGATATATTTTTTTTCCGTTGTTTGTTTGTTTGTTTGCGGTCAAAAAAAAAGTCAGAAAAAAGTATTTAAATATCGAGTTAAACTCGAGAGATAAGAGAGGAAAAAAGCGTGATTATCCGAATAACTCGTTACGCGACTTGTTACGTTGAAAGAAATTTTCCAATTGAATCGATCGAAGAAAATTAATTATCTTTTCGTTTCGAGGAGTTGCGACTAATCTCCAACTTGGTGATCCAGTTTCAAGGGGGTTGCTCGCCGCTTAACGGGTGGATAAGCCGTTCTGCAGAGATTCCAAATCGGTTCGGTTAACGAAATCTATCCCATCCCGAGAGATGCGAAATCGATGTCTAAAATGTGAAGCTGTTAAATTTTTTGGCGTGGCAAAAATTAGTTTGGTGAAACGGATACGTTGGAAGTTTTTTTTTTCTTTTTTCGTTTGATTAAACACAATATCGTGAGCAAAGTTGTGAAACAACTTTCATTTTCCGATTCTGTGTTCACGCATTTACGCGCGTGTCATTATTAAATGCGCAATAAATTTCTCTCGACACCGGATTACGAAATTCTTTTTTCAAACCTAAGCTCAATCTGGCCTTTCATAACCTAGAGATACACGCGATAACGTAACAACGTTGTGCGTCTCCAATTCGTATTGCGTAAATCGAAAATTGGCAAAAAAGATGAGGATGATTCGTATAAAAATATCGTTGCTTCGAGAATAGAATTTAACGAGCCAATGAAAAATACGTTCTGTGGCATTGGTTTTCATGCGAAAAAAAAAAAAGAAATGAGAAGACAAAATTGGAAAATTTATTCGACGTTCGGTTTAGAAAGGGAAATCGAAATATAATGGAAGCAGGAAGTCGACTTTAGATAGATGGAACAATCTATCGTGAATGTGCAGAAGAGTTTCCCTTTCTTCGCGATTCGACGATTTTTTTAATCGTTCGTTCCGTGAACTCATTTACTCATTTTTATTCTTTTTATTGTTATTTAATTTGTTATTATAGTTACATTATATTTCTTCTTTCTTTCTTTTCCTACGTATACGAGAAGGTAATTTATTAAAATTTCGATCGAATCGTTTCACGTAACACGCCACGTTAAATGGAATAAGTCGTCACGATTCTAATTACGAGATGATCAAACGACTGTATGAATCTGGAAAGGGAAGAGGAAGAAAAAAGAAAAAAGTGCAGAGAGGAGAAATCGCGTATTCCATATATCACGAAACAAGAAAATAAAACAAAACTAAAGTAACTTGAAACTTTCTAGATAAGCTTCGTCCACGTAAAGCAAATTAATTATTATCAATTGCTCGAAGAAATCTAGAGTGGAACATTGGAGAGTGTATCGCTCAGATCAGAATTTAGAAGGGAAATTTAATAAAAAAAAAACATCGTATTAAAAAAAAAAAAAAAGAAAACTTTCATTTATCTCTTCGTATTCTTTTCGATCTCACGAAGATCAAGAAGAGGAGAGAGAAAGGATTTTATTCATCCAAAGAAAGACCTCTCCGGGATAAAATTTTTTCGAGATCGCGCGATTTTTAGAATTTTACGAATCTCTCGGTTGGATTGAAAGAGAGAAATTACGCAACATTTCACTGGGGATTTAAAGAAATTAGTAAATTATTATTGAAATGTTAAACAATGAGTCGAGGAATATCGAAGAAAAATTAAAAATCTCGAAGATATAATTATATTTTAATATAATATATATACATTTCCATATACAATTATCACGATCGCTTATTTATCTTTTTTATTTAACAATCTGTTTCCTGTTTCTTGTTGTGTTCCAT